TCTGGCACTGGAACGAAGCAGCGAGCTGGTAAAAGGAACCGTCTGGTTCAGCACCGAGCAAAGTCATGCCAGATGTGCTTGGAGGTTTATTGCAGTACTTCATTTTGTGGCACATGTATTTACGCTGTTAGGTGCCCAACAAAATTTTCAAAGGGCCACTAACACCATTGTATCATCAGGAACACTATATGGAATTTCATTAGCATGGGAAAGGAATATATAATAGTTATCAAAAACTGAGAAGAAAACATACATATATACGCAAAATATAGTCAGCTAAGAAATGGCCACCACAGGCCTGCAGCCAGAAAATTTTTCTGGAGGGTGGGGAGGAGGGACATAGCTACGGGCCTGGGTCATTGTTACTTAACAATAAAACCGTGAGTGGTGTGATAACTTAGTGTAACTAAAACAAAAGGAGTTCATTGCTTGATATACATAGGTACCAATCTGAATGTGTGCTAAAATAATGATGACAAATGGTAGGATCTTTTGCATTTCACTAGAGCTCATTGTCATTGCATGGGGTGATCACAGGAGCTTGAAAGTGATACTGTTTAGTGAAGTTACATATCATCAGTAAAACAGCAGGGATAGATTAGCTGGATTTGTATGCATGCTTTGCAGATTCTACTGACAAAGTACCTCTGCTGTAGCTGCTGACCAAAAACAGCCGTTTACCAAGCCGTGCAACACTTTTCGAGCATGGTCAGAAAATGCTCTCATTGGTAGTCCAGGGGCCCGAGAACATGTGGGCCAGATATTATAGCGCAGCTCCTGGCCTGTAATTCACAATAAATTCTGAAACTCAGCTAAAAATAGCTTTTTTTTCTCTTGCAAAAGGACGTAGGATACCCAAAATTATTGCTTAAAAGCTGTTGTATTAGCCATTGGCTCATTTGAGCATGGTGCGCTCGTTTGTTACAGGGATCACTAGAGAAGGTCGCGACTTGTCCACGCGTGCACTCGTGATTGCACTAAAGAGCCACGAATTTGAGAAAAAAAAAAAGAGACAGATAGAAAGTACTCAAGGTCACAAGGTGCGCGTGATGTTTTTCTTTTTCTATGCCATCCCATCCTGCTTAGCTTTTGACGCTTTTGTTGGGACGATGGAAGAGAAAAAAATGCAATCGCAGTGTGATACAAATTTTAGTAACTCCGCTCGTTCTGAATGAATTCTAAAAATTCTAGTGGCGGTGAATTTATGGGACAGTAAGCTCCTTTAGTGAATACATTAAATGGCTGCTTGAAAAAGTGTTGCAGGGCCCCTCAAATGTGCTTTGAAGAAGCAGGGAACAAAAGGATACAAAAACACGCACACATAAAGGATGCAGACACAAGCACTGTGCCTTATTTATGAGTGGACAAACTTTATTCTAACCAGCGTATTGAGGCGTGAGCCTAAGCTACGGCAGGAGTGGTGGAGAGACCCTGTCTCTCAGCTGCCTCCTGTGCCTGCTGGATTGCCCATATTTGATCTGCCCGATCTGAGCTGATCAGGGCAGCTCTCCACTGTGCCCCAGGCTATTCTGGGGAGACTGCATTGGCGTCCTGTATCTGTGCTCATTCCCATAAAATATGCTCTAGGGTGGCGTGTCTCATGCTACATAGCTTACACGAGTCATCTGGGCATAGTTCGGGGTAGATGCAATTTAGGTGCACCGGGTTGGGAAATGCTCTTGTTTAAAGTCGGCTTCTGTCAACTTCCTGAGATCTGTCTAGTTTGGAGCTAGGTGGTGGAAATCTGCGCTTCGGCTTTTGGTATAATTGGATAATGTCGCAGAACCTTAACTTTCTCTCTCCCACCACTACTCTCCTCCCGATAGCTCACGAGAAGCTCCATCGCAAGCGCGGTAAGTGAGACCTCGCGCGATGCGGTGAACTTCTTCGTTGCGGTTGGGAACGGGGGACTCACACGGGATGTGGGCTGGGAACTATATAATATACCTTTCTTCAAATTACGTGGATTATATGAGCTTAGCCTTGCAGAGGAGTGTTAGTTGCCTCGGGAGATATTCTTTTCATGGATAGTTACGAATGGTCTACTGCGAGTCGCTGATGGCATATCTACATTTTGGAAAAATGGTGGCTTGTGCTAAAGCCACCTCTTCCGAGATTTCTGAGTCATCAGAGTGCATGGAGCACGCGCTTACGCACTTGCAGTTGGTGTTTACTACTGCTGCAACGTAGGATTTGTTGCTCGGGTACTCCGCTGCGTCTATGAACGTCTCCTTGTCTCTACCGTAGGCCTTGGTGCAGGGTGCATGTTTATGGGCAGATTGGGAGCCTGGATCTTTTCTCTGACCACCTTTGGAACCGATACTTTACTTCTTTGTTGGCTATGGTAATTTATCCCCAACTTGTCGAGGACACTCCGTCCTGTGCGCATGCTGGCTAGTCTCCAACTGGGCCATCTGTTGAGCTTCTATCAGCTCCTCTAAAGTGTTTCGTAGACTTAGTTGAAATAAGTTCTCGGTGCTAGTGCTATCTGGAGGGCCTAAGAGTTGCTTGTACGTCTTTCATATGAGTGCGTTGATCTTGAGTTTTTCGGCTGTATTCCAATTTAGATATGCCGCTGTGTATATAATATGACTTATGGTGAATGAATAAATAAGCCTGACGACGTTAGCCTCTTTTATGTTATGGTGTTTGTTTGTGACTCTCTTGATTAGCCGTATCACGTTGGTCTCATTAGATACTAACCTCTTCACGGTTTTGCCCTTTGTACCCTTAGACTCGATGATGAGTCCAAGGACTCTGATTTGTGGCACTACAGAAATAGTCCTGTCGTTTTTGGTGTGAATTTGGATCTCTTCATAAGCATGGTCCTCGCTGTAGCCCTTGGGTGGTCTGCCTTTGAGCGTGGAGCGGTAGAGAGGAGTTCAGATTTATCTGGCGAGCACTTGAGGCCAATACCTTCAAGATACTCCTCAAGAGCGGTGACGGCCTCCTGGAGCCTCTGCTCTATCTCTCCGTCACTACCTTCACACGCCCAAGATAGTGAGCCAAAGAGAGCCTTCGTTAGGTGTGCGTATTTTTTGCATCCTCCTGTGCACTGCCTCTTCGAGAGATCGTGGCTTACCAACTAGCCGATCAGTACATAATGTACTTTGTTGGGCGACCTTGGCAAGCGGAACGAAACAGCCATTGTGTCGGGCCAGCACAGAAACTTGGAGGGTAACAAAGAAACTTCAAGCATTTAGGAACCGTACAATAGGCTATTGATCAAGGTGTAATATTAAGAGACGGGGAGAGAGCAAAGTTGATGAATGAACAACTGGGGCTAACCGGTACTCCAGCTGACGTTAGGAAAAAATCGTGAACCTATCTGACTAGACTGCGCCAGTTGGTGTTCCCTTCAGGTTCAAGCAGCTTAGAAAACACAAACAAGAAGTAGAGACAGAGAGCTTTTTTTTTCTGCTTTCCAAGGTATTTTGCCAATAAGTTATCATGTTTATTTGTGACCTTTCTCATGTTTTAAAATACAGTCGAATTTTGATAATCAAACTCGAAGGGCCCGAAAATTTGTTCGAATTAAAAGAAGTTCGAAATAATGAAAGCTAAATAAGTGGAGGGCTCTCTCTATGCGGTGGCACATGTGCATTTAGCTAACACACGAGGGAGAAGTTTCAGAAGACTTACATTTATTCACAAAACTCAGGACATCCATTATTAATTAAAGTAATCGGTGATGCATGTCTGCGCACGTTTGCCTTGAAGCAAATAATTTAATTCAGCTTGCAAAACATTTCAACTTCAGCGTCAGCATTCTCCTGGCAAGTGAAGTTGCGCGCGGAAATGTTCAGTGTCGACACTTTCTAAAGACGATGACAACAACGACAGCGTAGTCTCTCTGCTATGCAGCCGCAGCATGGCCAGCACGTGACGAGATGGGAGGAGCGTCTCCACATGGAAAGAAGCAGATCGGCATTTGAGGGAAAACCAACACTCCACGGCAGCTTTTTTTTTTTTTTTTTGCTCTCTTCTCGCGCGTCGTTACGGAGAAAGGAGAAGGGTTACGTGGCAGGGACGGGAAAGAAGGCGGAAGCGTGGCGCAGGTGCGTGAGAAACCACTGCCCCCCTCAAGGCGCAGTGCCGTGCTCCCGCAAAGGGCTAAGGCTGCATGAGATAGTGCCTTTTTCCTTTTCTTCAGCCACACATTCATTCAACCCAGCTTTCTTTTTTTACAGCTTTCTTTTTTTTCCTCTTTCTATTTGCACGCGGCGTCGGAAGGAGAAGGGTCTTTACGTGGCAGGGACGGAAAAGGGAGAAGCGTGACACGAGTGTGTCGCAGATCGCCATTTGAGGAAGAGTAAACATTCAACCACAGCATTTTCTTTCCTTTTCATTTTCTTCATGCGCAGCGTTGAGGTGCGGCAGGTGCCGCCGCGGGATTGGGCAGGGTGCTGAGAGCATTTGGGGAGCGCGGCATGTTCGAATGAACCCTCGCAAGTGCTTGTGCGTTCGAATTACTGGGTGCTTTCGCCCATTGGAATACACATAGCTTTGACGGGACCTCATCGTGAGTTCGAATTAACTGGGAGTTAGAATTAAGGGTGTTCGAATTAATGAGATTCGACTGTAATAAATTTGTTGAACTTTTTTTTTCGTGCGTATTTTCGAATTCGCGCATTTATTCTGTGTATTTGCGAGTTCGCACGATTACTCTGTGGCGGTGACTGTGCAGTTTGTCACTTTTTTTAATGTTTCCTTTTTTGTTTCACCTAAAGAACTTTTCGGTTATGAGTAAGTGCTCGCTGTGTCAGCTTCTTGCGTACTGCTTTAACCTCAGTAGACCTGGGTGAGCCGCACAATGTGGAGGGAGTAGAGGGATGGTGTATGTCTAAAAGTGAGTAGCTTGGAATTCTCTGGCACGGTAGCGCACGTGAGATGGTGGCGATGCTCTTTTGCATGCATTGTGTGTTGGGCAGCCAGAGTGAATGCTGCGCCCGGCTTGCAAGTCGCAGCCTCCGTGAATGAATTGACGCGTGTTGCTGCAGGTGTTCCGACCGTACCGTGCCAGCTCGCACGACATGTGTCGCTTCCACTCGGAAGAGTACATTGACTTTCTCGAGCGAGTCACTCCGCAGAACATCCAGACCTTCACCAAGAGCCTGAGCCACTTCAATGTGGGCGATGACTGGTCAGTGGCTCTCATCCGATATTACTACTTCTTATGCACATTGTGGCAGAGCTGCGTGCTGTATCACAAACGTACTGGCATGCTGCGTCTTAGCACAAAAGTGGTTGAACGAAATGAGCATACATTCAGTAACTTAAAATAATCATTCATAAACTGAACAGTGCTCAGTCATGTTGGAATTGCCGGCACTATTATGAAGCTGTAGTCTGTCCATGATCTTTTTGGTGTTTGCAGATTTCATAGTTAGGAAGAAATGACAGTCAAAGAACACAAATTTTTTCTAATATTGCATACTTTTCATTTTAATTTGCTTTCACAAGTTCAGTTTCTCTCTTTCACTACATAAGGACTGAAAATTGTAATTCAACTCCAAGTAGGTTAAAATTGCTTTGAAAAAGTACATGTTAGCTCTTAAAAACTAGAAAGAGCTCATTGTCTAGAGTCCCCTGGAAATGGTTTGCATTTTGCATGGGCAGTTCATCAAAGGCACATGCTTTTAGTAACCATGATTTCTAAGTCATCATGACAGCAGAAATGATTTTAAGAAACCTATCTTTGGCACATAGATGAGCTTTCACTTATCATTGAAATGCATTTTTTTTAAGATCTAAATTTGGACAACTGCTTGGGTATGGACATAATGTTTTTGGTACTTCTGATAACCAAGTTGTGATAGAATTTCGCCCACATATTGCTTAACATGTTCAGAGTGCAAGTAACTCTTTAAAGCTTGATATCACCTATGTAATTATTATGAACCTGTAGTAAGCAATTAGTGTGATCTGTGCATTATAAGACTTTATTTTTATTGTCCATTAAAATGTCTTGTATGACCTCTCTTGTTAGTTATTTGCATTTCACAGTTACTGTGCAGCAATTTGAGCCACTAATGGCTCAGAACCATAAAAATCACAGCATATCCACGGAGTGAATGATGATGAGTGGGGCGAAGCGCCCGTAAGTCGGTCTGTGCTTCCATTCATTTGTTTTTGCTTCTGTCTGTCCGTGCGTCCACCCGTGCATCCATCTGTCTGTCCGTGCATCCACCCGTGCATTCGTCCGTCTGTCCGTGCATCCATCCGTGTGTCCGTATATCTATGCATCCATCTGTCCGTCCGTGCGTCTGTCTCTGCATTTGTCCGTGCGTCCATCCGGCCGTTCGTCCGTGCATTCGGCTGTGCATCTGTCTGCACATCCCTCCATCCGTCCGTCTGCTTGTCTGACGGTTCATTCGTAAGCATGAGATTGAAATAACTAGAAGAATAAGAATGGGGCAGAGTACATTTGGCAAGCATTCTGAAATCATGAATGGTACTTTTCTACTATCCCTCAAGTGCAAGGTATATAACAGATGCATATTACCGATACTTACCTTTGGAGAAGAAACCTGGAAGATTACACAGAGGGTTCAACTTAAGTTGAGGACGATGCAGTGAGCGATGGAAAGAAATATGATAGATGTAACCTTAAGAGACAAAAATAGAGCAGCGTGAATCAGAGAACAGACCGGGGTTAAGGATATTGTTACGGGTGAGAGATGTTTATTGTACAGGCGGGATGATAGATGGTTGCAGCCGTCAGGCCCGGCACAGAACACATTCACTTCTTTATTCTCTACCACACTTCAACGAAAGTCCTGTATCATTATCATACTTGACATCAAGAAGAAGAAATGGACGTGGGCCGAGCATGTAGTGCGTAGGCAGGATAACTGATGGTCGTTAAGAGATTCCCAGAAAAGACAAGCGGGTGAGGGGGAGACAGAAAGTTGGGAAGTTAGATGGGCAGATGAGATTATGAAGTTTGCGGGTATAAAGTGGCAGCAGCAAGCACAGGACTGTGTTTACTGGTAGAACATGGGAGAAGCCTTTTTTCTGTAGTGGGCACAGTCAGGCTGATAATTATCTATGACTTTTGCTCACAGATATGCGACCGACTTGATATGAAGAGCTCATGACCCTTGGTTTGCCATATGTTATATCTGTGCTTCTCATGCTCTGAAAATACTGTAAGCAAATTGCAAAGCTCTTGTTTGAGATATAGATCGCACATCATGGCTCCCCTGTAGCTCGGCTGTGATATTTTTCGGGGTGGGTAGAAGCGACGTACGTGGTGTTGTGGGAGTGGTATTGCAGCATGGTGAGTCAGATACACGCTATTTTAAATATGCATGGATGCAATGAGCCAGGCCAAGGTTTTGGCTAAGGTCGCCAACTCGCGATGTTTTAGGCGTTGACAGAATAAAACTTCAATTCAATTCTTTAATTAGTAAACGTAAAACATACAAAATATCAAAACCGGTTGGACCGATTGCTAAAGGCTAGTTGTGGCTCCAAAAATAAATAAATAAAGGTTTTATGTGCAAGAGAAAGATATATTACACGCATATAGATAGTCTTAGTACAATGTTGTTGTTAACATGTTTCATTAAGTTACTGACACACACACGTGTGCACACACACAAAACTATGACATCATGATTGTTCATATCAATAAACATGTTCAGACTAAGTATGTTTTAAACTCTGATTTTTTTTTGTTCTTTTCTGGTGGTACTTTATCTCGAATTTCGGGCCCTGAAAACTGCAGCAAATGCTGTCAGTAAATAGGTATTCTTAGTTTAGAGAGGATTAAAGTTTCCACATACTTGATTTTTGGTCACACGAGAAGATGTGAAAAATAAAGAAATATGAAAAACCAGTTGTTTGTGTCAACATTGAAGATGCACGATGCAATTTTTAATTGGTGTATCTTATCATAGGGCAGACTAGGCTCATTGTTGCCTGAATAGGTAATTATATTCACAGGGGTCCCATGGGACTAAACAATGTAGAATTGACAGGAGCCAATGGTGGAGGCCATGGTCACCATGCATAACTTCACTCGGGGTGTCTGTCTACTTGGAAAAGTCTGGACAAAAATGAGCATTACTATTCAACAAAGCTTAAAAAGTCTCCTAATATTAAGCTTCGACTACTGTGAACGGCTAGGAGAGGCGGGAAAAAAAGGCAGTGCATAACTGTTGCTTCTTAGTGTAAAGGCAACAGGAGTCACCAACGTTTTGGTGCCCGATACACAATCGTATTGTTCCTATTATAAGCCATAAAAAAGACATGGCATATTTAAGTACGCCTAAGTACATGACCTAAGCACCGAGAGTACATTGTCAAATGCGTCCCATCACTGGTCTCAGGCACGAAAACTTCTTTTATTTGAACAGAACGCACACTCTTGACCAATCCATTTGGTGGCCTGTTTCTCGCTCCAAGTTTCTCGCTGACACCGCCGGCGCGAGGCCAGCCATGCCGGCTGGCCTGGGCGATGTTTCAATAGCGGTAGGGGTGGATGTTGTGGCACCCTTTGGCCGCGACGTCTTCGAGTCCTTCGGGGTACGCGGCCGCAGTTGGTCTGCATGATGACATTGCTAGCCATCCGGTGTGGACACAGTCGCCATCTGAGTTCTTTGGGTAGTAGTTACCCCTCCCGGCGACCATTCTGGCTGGCGGTGCAAGCTTCTCAGCCACACCACCAGCTGTCCTGCATAGAACGGCATGGTAGAGGGCGCTTTACAAAAAGCGGTCCACTGCCTACGCTCGGGAGGCAATAGTCTAGCCTGGTCCGTAGCTGGTAACCCAGCAGTAGTTCGGACAGAGGCTTCCCATTCTTTAACGGTGTCCGTCGGTAGCGGCATAAAAATTGACTGAGACGTGTACTGAACTTGCCATCCCCTTGAGCTTTTCGAAGGCCTTTCTTGATCATGGGAACCACGGAAACTGATAAGATTAGTTTACCGTTTTGACCCCTCGGGGCGTTGATGTTGCAATGAAATAAATACGGTGCACTTGAGTTCAGTCAGTGTGGAACCCGCCTAAGTACGTGTGTGTGATTTGGTCCGGGGACCGGCATTGCCTTGGACCAGCCAGTTGTCACAAGTGGCGACAACGTCGACTGACGAACCGGACGGGCACGGCACAATCACACGTGGTCATGCTTGTTGTCGGGAAGCTCGATTTGTTCGACCAGAGTACATTGGAGTGGGCAGAAAACCGTGAGCGTGCCGAGCTGTACTTCATCGCGAATGACATCTTGAGCGACTAGCAGATAGCTGTATTTTTTACATGCTGCGGTCCAGAGACTTATTCTCTGCTACCAGGCTTCCAGCACCAAGCAGGCCCTCCCAAACAGAACTGACTAATTTTTACCACTCTTGGCAAGCACTACGCTCCTCATGTATCAGAAGTAGTGGCAAGTTCCAAGTTTTTCTTAAGGCATTTGTCACGGTGCATTAGCTTCACCGCCTCAGGTTCGAGAAATAACAAGGACGAAACGGGTGTTTTCGTTAGCACACACACTTTCAAACATTTATACTACGGAAAAATAACTATACAAGCCAGTCACGCTATACACAATACAAATATATGTATCAATAGCTATAGAACGAATGTACAGTTCACATACTAAGAACCGGGAAAAGTCAAGGACCGCACGTCATCGTGGGTTTTGCCCAGGGGAACAAGAAGCGTCCCAGATGCGACGCCTCGCGGCTTTAAGTCGGGCTTGGTGCTCCGCTGTGATCATTCGATGGATTGCGAACGGTTGTTGTTTGGGCGCCTCGTGATGACTCGCGTTCAGGTGACTGCCCTAGACCTTCCGTGAACTTTCGGAGCCGCAGGCTCAGTGGCCTGAGGTATCGGCAGAAGCCAGGGTTTCTTGTCCGCATGGCTGCTTCGTCTGCCAATTTTTGCTTCTCCTCCATGCGCGGCTTCGCCACCTCTCTTCTTCCCCCCCTTTTTTTTTCAAGATTCTCGCGCCACAAGAGTTCCTCGCGCCTTTCTTCTTTTTCTTTTATTGTCGTTGTCACTGTTGCGTCCACTCAATGCCTTTGTCATCCTTACTTCACCAGGGCCCTTACAAGCAACACATGACAGCATCGAAAAGAGGGGGAGACCGTAAGTGGCTACATTGCCTCATTGAAGAAATCAGCTGAAGACTGCAACTTC